AGGAAAAAACTAATTAATTCTTCAAAAAAACTTGGTATTTTGAGTCAGAAAAGATTTAAGGAAACTTTATTTTCTTTAAAAAAAAAAGAAAGCAAACATCCTGGTTGAAACCATAAAGAAAACGAAGACTATGAACACGAAAATCCTTGTTTCATACCGATATACAATCTCACTTAAGCACACGCTTGAAGCAGAACATAAAATATTACATCATAGTTGATGCACATAAAATAAGTTCCAATGCATCTGGGTTGCATTTGTGGTCTGAAGACATCATTACAAACAGTTACAAACAGGTATGTGAAGGCTAAGAGTTTATTAGTGGTAGGGGAGCCAGATGAACAACATATTTTTTCTGTCATTCTATCTAGTTTTACTAATTGACCCTCTACTTTCAGAAACAAGGCTGCATGCCTGAAGCGACAATAGTTAGTGTGAGTATATATATATCTTAACAATTGTCTACACTTTCACATTTATGCTCGATATCTCTTTAGATATGAACTGTATAAAAGAATGCTTGTTGAAACATTGGACTGATCATATCGGTTCGCCTTTTTCAGAAGATTTGAGATTGAGAAAGATTTTAAAATATAAATTAATATAACATTTTTCTCCTTAAATTTTGAAATAAATATTATTAGCCGTGCTTTTCAACCTAAGGCTGAAATAAATTTGTCATATATTTCGTTAATGTCGACTTTTTTCTCTCTGTAGAACGATCATTGTAAGTGTTAACTTTTAAGAAGAAAATGAGCCTCTGTACGACTCTATCGTTTTGCATTACCTTTGTATGTTTGGGACAGTCGCTACAATTTAGCTGCTCTTCCGAGCCGAAATGCACATGTTATTACGAAAGAGGGATGCTGAGCGTCAATTGTAGCTCGCTTAACCTAACTCACTCACCAAATTTTCAACAAAATGTTAGATGCATCTATCTAAACAACAACCGTCTTACGGAAATACCTACTGATATGCCGCAAGCGATCGTGCGGCTAGATATAAGCGATAATAATATCCGAGATCCAAAAAAGGCAAGTCTGTCAAGATACAAACATTTGGAGTGGTTAAACCTTGAACGTAATTGTTTATGGCAAAAATACAAGGAATGGCCATCACGCTTTTTCGAGAACCTGTCAAAACTTGATACTCTTCTCATGAAGGATAATTGTTCGGAAACATCTTATTATACGATCAAGGAGATGAGGTACTCTAAAGAATGCTTTTACGGGCTCTCTTCATTACGGCATATTGAACTCGACGGATTAGGTGGCCAAAACTTTGGAGAAGCATTCGAAGCAAATAATTCCATTCAATTTCTTACATTTACGCCAAATAATGGTCGTTGTGCTCTGAATAGCATCAAGAGTAAAACATTCCAAATTTTCAAATGTTTGAAAAATCTAACATTAGTTAACTGTAATATCATGTTCATCAAGAAAGGAGCTCTTTCACACTTAAATGATCTCGTATCTCTGGACATTTCAGAAAACCAGGAGCTTACGCTATCAGTATTAACCAATATCACCTTTGATCTGCAGAATTCAACAATCCAGACTCTCTTTGCAAATAGTCTTCATTGTAACGTCGGACTTTCTCTGCTATTAAGTATAAACCATATCAAATATCTTAGAAATACTTCTTTAAAAGAGTTGTCCTTGGGAAGTAATAGGATAGGTATCATAGAACATCTACTCACGACATACCTTCCTAAGTCTTTAAGATATATAAATATTGATGATAATCCACTTATATTCGGGCTCTATGTTGTAGAAGGCGACTTTCTTACAAATTTAGAAAGGTTAAGCTTTAACCAAAATGAGAGAAAAGAAAGGCGAAGAATAGGTTGTAATTTTAATTCTAACAGTTGTGACAACAAAGGTGATATAAGAGTCGATGAAACGTTAAATAGAGTGTATAGAAAATACCAATTACCCCCAAAACTAAAATATTTAAGCATGGCTAATAGGAAAATATATTTTCCTTTGATACATAAAATTGGACTTAGAACAAACAACTCACTAACACATCTGCATGTTCAAGGAAATCTTATATATGATATACAGGGAGTTAGTGGGCTTCAACATCTAGAATATCTTGATCTGTCAAATAACTTCTGCTTTAACATTACCAAACAAGTATTTCAAGATATGACCGGCTTGTTATTTCTGAATTTATCCAAAAATCTGTTAGGAAAGGAATTACAGCGACAACATAAAGAGCATGTATTTGACCATCTCCATAATCTAAAGATACTGGATCTGTCATATAACTCGATAACTCTATTGCAAAAAGATTTTTTTGCCTCGGTGTCAAACATAGAACACCTCAACTTGAGTAATAATGAATTAGAGAGTGTCACCTTTGACTTGTCAGCTGCATTAAAATTGCGTAGCATAGATTTGTCTTCAAATAAAATTGTAATGTTGGACTCCAAATCGATGGACTTTTTAGATGCCTCTAGGGAGAAACAGCTCTCTATCCAGATGTCAAACAACCCATTACAGTGTACATGCCGAAGCCTGGAGTTCCTAAAATGGATGAAAGTATCGGCCAACAAAAACTTCGTTGATGGAGAAAAATGCACATGCGTATTCACAAACGGAAAAAAGATCGAAATGCGCAATTTGGCCAATATAATCTGGTCTTTAGAACGTCAATGTGCTTCATTTACAACAACAATAGTCATAGTAACCATTATTTTACTGGTCACAATCATTCTTATATCATTTGCAATAGTGTATAGGTATAGATGGAAACTGCGATATTTGTATTATGCCGGTAAGAGAAGTTATAGAGGATATTCAAGAATCTTAGAAACGGGGAGAGAGTATCAATTTGATGCTTTCATTTCGTACGCTGAAAGTGAAAGAGCAGAGTTTATACCAACTATTTTGAAGCTAGAAAAGGAAAACAATTTCAAATTCTGTATTCACAGTCGTGACTTTATAATTGGTGTTAATATAGCAGAAAACATAACTAATGCAATTCATAACAGCAAGCGTTCTGTCTGCTTTCTGAGTAAAGCTTTTTTGGAATCTGAATTTTGCATATATGAAGCCCAGATGGCTCGAATGGAAAGTATTTACAGAGGAGGAGAAACAACATTATTTGTTGTTCTTGTGGACAAAGATCTTGGAGTTGTCTTGCCACAATTTCTGAAAGATGTAATAAAAGAACAAACATATCTTGAATATGATAAACAAATTTCAGAGGAATTTTGGAATGCCCTGACTCAAGCATTTATAGAAATGTAGAGAAAATTCGTACTTGGAACAGCAAGGCTTAAAAATATTAACACCTGAATCTTTCTACGGCAACTAAACTTATTTTAATACCGGCTAAAGAAAATTAAACAGTCAGTTACTTATATCTGCAAACGAGATAAAATATCAAATATTTTCCCGATGCCCAATTTGAATTTAATACGGAATTACAAGTAACAAACATACGAGTATGTGACAATAATGAACACCACTGGAATGCTAAAAAAACTTTGGAAGAACAATGTTTTTAAAGACCAGTCCAAAAAAAATTGCAATTGTACTTTATAGTTCCAAAATCTAGACAAACTTATCTTTTTATCAATTTGGTTTTTCATTTTTTGTACGTTTTTCATTGATTTACGGTAGTTGTTCTAGTTTCGAATGCTGTTCATCAATATTATTATGTATTGCTTATTAATATCTCCTCTGTATTTCAAGACCAATATAATATAACATGCTTTTGGTAAATGCCCATGAGACTTTCAATTTACGTTTTATATGAATGTTTAATTTAAATGTAGCAATGGTCGTCACACGAATGATACTAACATCTTTGTGTGCTTCGTGACCGGGAGGCCCGGGTTCGATTCTCATTCGCGGCACCGCGTCAAACCTATGATGTAAACGTAGGTAGTGACTGTTACTCCGCCAAGCTCTCGATCAGCATTTGAAGTGAAAGTCACGTGTCTTTCAGATATGACCTTTAAAACGTAGGTCTCGTGTCACGGTAGGCGTTTGCACGATAAAGAATCCTCGGCTCAAAGACCCAGATTCCAAGTACATGTATAGGTCTAAATTTGAAAGCCTTCACTGGTAAACGTTGATGTTTCTATATGAGTTAAAAATTCTCGAATGGGACGTTAAACAATATACTGTCAATCAATCAATCAATCAATCAATCAATCAAAGAATACGGCAACTTTTTACGTCAACCAATTTGTTATCGCTTTTTTCAATTTCTTATTTTACAGTGTAATAGTCACATTTATACGTAAGTCTACAGACATTTTCTATACGGCAGCGAAACATTATTTATCTTGCGCAATATACTAGTATTAAATTCTGTTTATTTCTGCATTTTTGTGTATTTATTATATTTCTCGTTATATGTTTGAATGTAAAAGGTTTCTGTTTTTTGTGTGCTTTTGTGAAGATGATCTTTCCAATTTAATTTTGACCACGATAATAAATTTGTTTGTACGAACTGTTTGTCCTTTTTCAAAGTTTTGGTTACATCAAGGAACTATAGTACCATGTTTATTATCTCAAATTTGTGGCTCTCCTTATCAATTATGCCTGAGCTTTAATGCCTAAGCATGACTAATCAGATAATAATTCTACCTTTGATGTACAACACTTACAGATTCCGATGGCAGAACTTTTAAACACATCTTTATGACAAGGGAAATCTAAATATATGACACAGAGTATTTGAGTGGACCATGGCATCCAAAATACCTCGATTTTTCAAACATCTTTCTGCTTCAAGAATGCAGGAGTTATTTCAAGAGATGGCCAACCAGCAAATCTTCAGGTTATTAAGAAAAGGAGTAAAAAGCATAAGCCTACAGAAGATGCATTTGATTATCATTGATGTTTAAAGGTATTGCATCTGTCATTTACATGTATCAGGACTATTTTAATAAACATGTTTTAACATTTAGTATAGAAATGCTTTTCAATAAACTGTTTTGAGACTTAAATTTCTTTAATCCACAAATGAAGCATTTTTCTTTTTTGCATTATTAAACACAAGCAGACAAATAGACACACAGGCCAATAGAAATTGAAATTGTTTACCTAAGTTATGATTGATTGATTGATTGTATACTGTTTAACGTCCCTCTCCAGAATATTTCACTGATATGGAGACGTCACCATTGCCACTGAAGGGCTGCAAATCTAGGCCTATGCTCGGCACTCAGCACCATTGAGCAGGGAGGGATCTTTATCGTGCCCCAGGGCCTCGGTTTATACGGTCTCATCCGAAGGACCGCCCCATTTAGTCGCCTTTTACGACAAGCAAGGGGTACTGAGGACCTACTCTAACCCGGATCCCCACGGGGCTAGAAATGTTATAGGTTTGACAGTATTTACATCCCCTGAATATCAGTTCCTCTATTTATTATGACAACCCTTGCCTACTTTTCAAACAGTAAACGCCACTAACCCCCCCCCTGCATAACGTTCCTTAGCAATTGCTCTTCCATGAAGTATGCATACAATAACATCTATAATACAATATTTCACATATATGATTTTAATTTAATCATATTAATACATACATAATTATGAACATAGACGTAAAGTAACAACAAATATCTTTCTTTGTTTATGAGTACGGAAATTTGCGTTGCTATTGCAAAAAGACACACAGCCCTCGTTTTTTCCCTGCAACAATTTAAGACTTTTATTCCCGTATTAATTACCTTATACGACCAATGTAAATGTAAAGTATTTTTAGTAACCTTTAAACACTAAGATGAATTCACTGTGACGTCTTGGACAACATCAATTTTCCCAATCAATATGTAGTGAATAGAGGTATTTTTTTTAAAAGGTAAAATCAAAATGATTAATAGGATATCAGGAAATTGCTCTGGTATCTTAATTATTCTCTTACTAATTATCATCTTACTAATTATCCAATTACGCGAAGGACACATGATGGTCCATGAAAAGGAAATTAATAGTATTTTAGGATGTAAACAAATATTTAGTTAATTCACCAGATAGATGTCCATACTTAGATGGTTGTGAATGATTTTCCAATTATTCATATACAATATTAATAATCGGATTCCACATTTCACGAATTGTAATCACTTACTGATTTAATGCATAAGATTTTCTTAAAACTGCATATTTATATTCTGTACAGTATACATCTTGTAAACTAATTTATTTTGAAATCTGATTAAAATTTTTGAAGGAGAAGCATTCACTTTTTCAGATAAAAATTGCTATATAAAGTCTTATTGATTTATAAGGAAATTACTAAAAGAGGCATCTAAACCACTTATTTAAGATATAAGGTATCATTTTTAAACATCTATCGGGATAAAAATACGGGCTGGTCACGAGATTAAATTCAAAAAAGCCCGATAGATGTTTTAAAATGATACCTTATTACTTATATTTACATTTGTGACTTATTCATACTTTATAATAGGCTGATTGTGACTTTTAACGTGTGAAATGCATTATTTTTCAAACCCAACGGCATGTATGTGATCCACTGAACACACGTCAACCCTTTATGACGTCACAGAGAAATTACGTCGAACGTTTATCCATAAGCACATCTATGACCTCTTGACCCCGCACTGGTATTTATACAGATATACATGTAGATACGCATTGCTTTCAGTAGTGTTATATAAAGGTAAACATTTGCAAATGTAAATATAAAAAAGTAACAGTAAAAGTCACTAATATGACTTTAAATTTACTGTCCATTCAATCAATACTTCAAAAGTAACATCAGTAAATTTAGAATTCATAAGCAACTTTCAATTAATATATATACGACCTCAGCTCCACGGGACACTACTTCTCACTATCTAATAAGCAAATAGAATGATTAATCCGTACACCTTGGTTAAAGATGTTCTTTCATTTTATCCTATTCCCTTTCCCTCTCTAGTAATATTTTGGACCTTTATGCATAGACAATATTTAACGTTTTTGCTTGGAATTTAAAATTATTTTCAGGAGAATATGAGAGAGGTTACCGAAGTAGTTTAATTCATAATAATAACATGAATTCATTTTACTTTATTATTTGATACGTATATTAGACTAAGTACTCTGTGACCTAATCAAGACTCCCACCCCCACTCCAAGTAATGCATTTCATTTGTACAGGCCATTTTGAGTTCTGTTTTAATTAATGATATGATGGTAATTGTAGAATTTAATGGTTCTACACATTATAATACTGAACAGCATTATCTACACTGACAGGTACAATTTGGCTATGCGATACACTTGCATATTTATTTCCTACATATATTTCACCTAACTTTTAACGTCTGATAAATATAGGGTCTCACATGATTTGTAGTTGGATATGATTTTTATCCAACTCGTTGGATAAAAACAAACAACGAGTTGGATAAAAATCATATTCAGCTACAAATCATGTGAGATTCTTTTTATCCCACATTTTACATTTTGTTTTATACACCACAATCAATGTTTTACACAGTTTTAATATTGGACTCCACTTTATTTTACTTCATTACGCTAACGCAAAACCCATTGTGACGTCACTACTGTGGGATAGCAAAACGATATTACATGAGCTATATCAACGGGATAAAGGGATAAACATGGGATACAATAAATGTACGTATATTTTTCCATCGATACCAGAAAAGTGGCGTGGAAATACTGAGCGTCTACATCAGAGAAATATACTGAAAGGAAAAAAAACGCATAATAAACTTTTGAAAAAAATTAAAACTTTTATTTCCAATATGTTTTCCGGTATTGTTATCAAACATTTTAATTCAACTTTAAACAGCAAGAAACCGAAATCTTGTGTGACTTTGAATGATAATTCCGGAGTTATTGAAGTTGATATGTCGATACCCCCCAAAATTAAAATAAAAATTCTCATCATACCACTTGCGCATCAGTAACAGTCTTGATTTTCTTGTGCATTGAGTACTTATCTTTCTCATAGAATTATCATTCAATCCTTCCGACGGTAGTCTTAATGGTTGAGAGAAGATGTATTATTCCAAAGCCAACAAATCCCCCCGCCAAATGAATCCCACGAATTTTCGATTTAAGATAGAATTTAAGATAGAATTGACCGAATGTAGCTTGTTCGGTACACGTGAATGTTGTAGAAAGTCTCAACAAACACTGGCTATATTTTCTCAGCGTGAACATGCTAAAAAATTGCGCATACGGCGCGTGTGAGAGTAAAATTGACGTAAAGTTGCCAAGCTTGCGTACCAAATTAGAGCAGAGAGTTTCTGTCAGTATTAGGGTGAAAATATGAGTATGATTATCTGCTGTAAAAATAACAGTTTCAGTAATAATGACTGGACAATAACCGAGGTGGCATGATAAAAAGCCCTCTCTTGATGTGACGTTGTTACGAGCCAACGTCACCGTCATGGTTGGTTGGAAACATTTTAAGTTACTCTCTGACAACCGAAAAATCTTTTTTGATTGAGAAGTTAAAAACAAACTGCACAACAACATCTTGTTGCCTTTTTATTCAGTTATGCAACTCAATTACTAGACCCCATGTAACTTCTGTCAACAATACCATGAATTGCAAGAAATTTTTACTGGCTGCAAATACCGGAAACGATGTCTATAACTCTAATGCATCTCTTGGCACTACAAAATGTGATCACAGAATTGTCATCATCAGCATGCACGTGTATTTGGCTTTTTATCATTTCCCCTAAGTGACGCCATACATTTCATGGTTGCGTAATTTTGACATGCGATTTTATTGCACAGAAATCAAAATACATATTTGAACAATTTTATAATTTTCGGCCACATAGTGAAATATATTTCGCTATTATGTTATTATGCATTTCTTTTTCCTTTCAGTATACATTTACAAGTCTGTCCTGTTTTTTCGTCTTCATAGATCCAAAGGTTGACATTTTTTAAAAGATTCAATAGTAGTCAAACTTTGAAGAAAATGACGAGAAAATGGTGATATATTACCCGTTTTTTTTTTTTTTAGAGAAGTTCAACTTGAATCTATTTTTCAGCATACCTAAGAAGTTTCAAATACTGGTATATTACGTATTCAAGGTAAAAAAAATTATATGAATTTATGTATACGTTTTAAAAGCTTTGGTAAATTAAAAAAATAAATTCAACACTTTTCCTTTATACTTTTGTGTATTTAGTTTTAGTATTTAAGAGCACATAATAATAAATAATCAAAGAAATTTGTGTGTAAATTTATTAGCACAAATTACTTCAAACATACACTCATTGTGTTACCAATTGCTTTACAAATATGTCGAAGCCCATTCAAGATAATCGCCTTAATTTCCTTTTTAGCCGGGCTTATTGCTCAAAGAGCAATTGCCGGCTTATGCGATCCTGTTCAAGGCAGGATGTTGACCCCATAGTCGCCATTTTAAAGTTACGTGCAAAAATATAGTTCTTACTCTCAACCGCTTTTGAGATAATACAAACGCTAAATAAAGCAACAAAAATAAAACGAAGTTTTATCTATATAAAATAAACATTAGTAGTAATGACTTTGAAAACTTCATAAGTCAAAGAACATAGTTCATTAGCGTAAGGATTTTTGATAATCAGTGTTACCGTAGTTCTCTACACATACGAGGTAAAGCAGGAGAGGGAACCAGACTGGCCTGTTTGTTTACATTCAGCTGCGGTACCAGATTAATTCTGATTCTGACAAAATCGGACCGTGGTATTAGGATTGAAAAACTCACTGTCAGTGTCTTATCATTTATATTGATAGTTTTAAAATAACTTTTTCATCAGAATATAAACGTGATTCATGTAAGAAATCCATTCTACTCTGTAAATGAGCCCGGCTCTCTGTACTTCTGAGTACTTTGATTTAACATAGGGGTCGATGCTATTTGGATCCGGGCCACAATTAAAGGGTGAAGGTCAAATGGCTAAAATGTAGCACATGTAGGAAATTCATATGCCTCCCTTTCAATGATAAAAATAAAAATAGCTCACATGTTTTAGATACTTTTGGGGTATAGAATAAAAGTAGAGTGTCTAAAGTTTACAATGATATGCAGCAAGGTGCATTTCAAGCAAAAATTATGCCTAGAAATATGAATTGAAAAGAGCATTCATTTGGTTTGTTTACACTTTTTTTGCCAAGCGAGAGCTATCCCGAGGTCATGACGTCAGAAGTTTATTAATAACCAGGGAATTCCACATTCAACACCCCTATTTCTGGATGTGAATATTTATCTGACACATTGCTCTATCATGTGGTCAAAGATATTTTGGAAATGAAGATTTTTAAAAAAGTTACAAAGAAAATAAAACACATGTTTTTACTATATAAGTCTATATGTAAGCTAATTGTGGTCCGGGTCCTTATGATTTGAGTGTAAAACTTTCAATAAGAATTGAGATCGGACATAAACGGAAAAGATTTGCACATGTTGTTTTTAATCAGTAACCACAGCTTGTTTCTTTAATATCACTTAAGTTCTGATTGAATAATTTATAAATGACGTTGTATGGTTGTTGTTGTCGGTCTCATAAAAAACAGTAACTTATTAAATCCGCCAACCTGAACCACCACATACCACTGTACTCTCATTTTTGCTATTTGGGGGTTATTAACCAAAAATGAAATATTTAATTAAATCTACGATAAATACTGTACGAATGAAATCATTTTAGCTAAACGCAATTTAGCGATTTCTACCTAAAATCTGGTATTTTATTTTTAGCAAGAAGTAATTTTAGCGATTTAAAATGCTTACTAAAGAAGGTACATGTATTACAAATAATACGCAATTAATTTTTAGCGATATTCAAATTTAGCGATGTCAGAACCCTCGCTAATAATGCCAAAATTAAATCCTCGCTAAAAATTCTAGTTATACGGTAGCTTACAGACATCACCTTATACCTAGTTTACTCATAGAGGAGGTTTTATGAACTCTGGTGCAGCGCCTTCGGAATCTATTTGCTAAATTTGATAATTTATAAGTATAGATATATTTGGATCGAAGAATCATAGGGAAAATTTGACGGAAAAAAACATACATAAAGGGAAGAAAGGGAAGAGTCCTAGCATTTTCCAGTCTTCCGACATGAATTGTGCGGATAATATTTAGTTATTTTGAATTAACTAACTCCATTTTTCTACAAAAATACCGCGCACTGCAGTATATTATTTCGCGACTGATGCACTGAGACGGTATCGTTTCTAGTGATGCAGTAGTCAGGGATTTTTTAAATAATTTTTCCTGAAACGAAAACATCAAAAATAAATATCTACATGCGAAAAAACAATCTACAAAGACAAGCAATTCAGGAATGAAAGATGAAATGGAAAAATTTAATCAGTTCATATACTAGAAAATGAATGATAGTGATGTCTTCTCTTTACTCCAAAGACGGAAATATAGCTTAAATTCAATTATCAAAAATAAAATATCCAGGTTCTAACAAAACAGACTCAGTTTGGAATACTTACTAAAAGTAGACTGGCAGAGATATTAGAAAGGTGAATATAACATGAAGCTATTTTTATTATCATATCTATTCTTTTCTAATATGGTGGCTATAAAATTTAGGATGGATTACATGCATATAAACGACGCGGATTTTAAAACGTTTTGATTGATTGATTGATTGTATATTGTTTAAAGTCCCTCTCAAGAATTGTTCACTCATATGGAGGCGTCACCGTATGCCGGTGAAGGGCTTCAAATTTAGACCTATACTCGGCACACTCAGGGCCATTGCGCAGTGAGGGTTCTTTGCGTGCCAGCGCCCACCGCGACACGGGACAAACGTTTTAAAGGTCATATCCGAAAAACCCGTGACTTTCACTTCTGATGTCGAGCGCTTGGCAAAGGAACTACTTATATTAACGTCTTAGGTTTGACGCAGCGCCGCGAACGAGAATCGAACCCGGGCCTCCTGATCACGAAGCAAACACTCTACCACTAGGCTACCGTGAACTGTTTTAAAAAAACTCGCAGAAGCATTGGACTGATAATATCGGTTCGCCTTTTTCAGAAGCATTGAGATTGAGAAGTATGTATAAGTAAAAATTGATACAGCATCTCCTTTAATTTCGAAATAAATATTATTAGTCGTGCTTTTAAACCTAAGACCTGAAACAAATTTGTCATATCTTTTGTTAATGTCGACTTATTTTTCTCTGTAGACCGATCATTGCCAGTGTTAACATTTAAGAAGAAAATGAGCATCTGTACGACACTATCGTTTTCCCTTACCTTGGTATGTTTGGGACAGTCGCTACAATTAAGCTGCTCTTCCGAGCCAAAATGCACATGTTATTACGAAAGAGGGATGCTGAGCGTCAATTGTAGCTCGCTTAACCTAACTCACTCACCAAATTTTCAACAAAATGTTTCATTTATTTATCTAAACAAAAATCATCTAAAGGAAATTCCTACCGACATGCCACAGGAGATTGTGTGGCTAGATATAAGTAAAAATGATATCCTGAATCCAAAAAAGGAAGTTCTCGCGAGATACAAACATTTGCAATGGTTAAATATTGAACATAATTGCTTATGGTTAACAGAAAAGGAATGGCCATCACGCTTTTTCGAGAATCTGACAAAACTTGACACTCTGCTCATGAAAGATAATTGTTCAAAAATATCTTATTTTACGATCAAGGAGATGAAGTACTCCAAAGAATGCTTTTATGGACTTTCTTCATTAAGGCATATCGAACTGAACGGATTAGGTGGCCATAACTTTGAGGAAGCATTTGAAGCAAGTAATTCCATTGAAGTTCTTGTATTTACGGTAGATGGTGGTTATTGTTTTCTGAATAGTATCGAGAATGATACGTTCAAAATTTTTCAACATTTGAAAAATCTAACATTATTTAACTGTAATATCATACGCATGGAGAATGGAGCTTTTGCACACTTCAATGATCTCATATTTCTGGACGTTTCTGAAAACCCAGATCTTACGCTATCTGTATTAATCAATATTACTTATGATCTGCAGTATTCAAAAATTCAGACTTTTATCGCAAATAATCTGCATTGCCAACAAGGACTCTCATGGATATTAAGAATAGACCATATAAAATATCTTCAAAATACTTCTTTGAAAGAATTGTCTTTGGCAGGGAATAGAATAGGCATCATTGAGCATCGATTAACCAAGTACCTTCCAAAGTCATTGAAATATATAAATATAAGCAATAATCCGCTTATGTTCGGGGATTATGTTGTAGAAGGCGACTTTCTTTCAAATCTGGAAAGATTAAACATTGACCATACTGAAAGAGATGGAATGCGTAGGACAGGTTGCAATTATAACTCTAACAGTTGTGACAAGGTGGGGGATCTTAGTGTCGATGAAACATCAAATGAAGTGTCGAAAACATATAATTTTTATCAATTACCCCCCAAACTAAAATCTCTTAGCATGGCCAATAAGAAAATATACCTTCCTTACATAGGTAATTTTTGCGGATTCAGACCAACTAACTCATTAACACATCTGCATGTTCAAGGAAATCTGATCTATAATATACAGGAATTTAGTGGGTTTCAACATTTAGAATATCTTGATCTGTCAAATAACTTCTGCTTTAACATTACTAAACAGGCATTTCAAGATATGACGGGCTTGTTATTTCTGAATTTATCCAAAAATCTGTTAGGAAAAGAATTGCAGCGTCGAAATAGAGAGCATGTATTTGACCCACTCCATAATTTAAAGGTACTAGATTTGTCATATAACTGGATAACTGTCTTGCAAAAAGATTTATTTGCCTCTTTGTCAAACATAGAACATCTAGACTTAAGTAATAATGAATTAGAGAGTGTCACCTTTGACCTGTCAACTGCCTTAAGATTGCGTGTATTAAATTTATCCTCTAATAAAATTGTGATGTTGGATTCAAAAGCAATGAATTTTTTAGATGCTTCTAGGGAGAAACAACTCTCTATCCTGATGTCAAACAACCCATTACAATGTACATGCCAAAGCATGAAATTTCTAAAATGGATGAGAGCATCATCACATAAAATTTTTCAAGATAGAGAAAAATACACATGCGTATTCACGGACGAAAAAAGGATTAAAATGCGCAACTTGGGCCATATAATCTTTTCTTTAGAGCGGCAATGTATGTCATTTACAACAACAATAGTTATAGTGGCAATTATTTTGCTAATCATAATTATTTTTGTTTCCTTTGCAATAATGTATAGGTATAGATGGAAACTGCGTTATTTGTATTACGCTGGTAGGAGAATTTATAGAGGATATTCAAGAATCTTAGAATCGGGTTGTGACAATCACTTGTGTATCAGGTTAGCTTAACGGCCTGTAGCAATGATTTCCCATAGTTCTTTGTCGTTGCAAAAGTCACGTGATTAAAAAATTGGCTGGGACATTCCCGGGTGAGCTGCCGTGTGAGTAACACGTACATTAGAGGGCAGTCGAGTTTACTGCAGGGGCAGTATATTTTGCAGTATGCAACGTACAGAACCTAACTAGTAACTAAAGGCACGGAAGAGCAGACCGTGGTATGTATATTTTGTGTTTTTGAATTTATTCTTAGAGTGTATTTTGTAAGTATTCTTGTTTATCGAGTGACCTAAATATAACCTTGGCTTACATTCACTTGTCTAACTTACCTGTGTGAGCAGTCAAGTGTATCGGTAGCGAGAGTTTAAATACCCAGTTCTTTTACTGTCGATAGAATATTGTATGACTTTATTTGTATCACTTTTGAGTGTTTCTTTAGGTGTATTTTTGTGCTCGATATTTTTTTTGGCGAATTCTTTAAATGTATTGGGCGGAAGTGACAGCCGGAAGTGGTCGCCATATTGTTTTGAAATCACAATACAATGTATGCTTTTTATCATAACTTGTTGAACTATTTAGACAGACATATTTCATTTATACTTTATCTAAATATTACATCATTAAGTGTTGCCATTATAATATGTTGCCATATTAGAAAACTTATGAGTCCTGTAAATTGTAGCGTTATGACGTTGGTGAAGTACGAGGACGTAGCTGAGTGAGCTTACGATCCAGATGGGACAATACAGTCAAGCTTTCTGAGGGTTATCATCGCCTTTCCACAAGATCCGGGACTACAGCCCCAGAAGCGATCGGACGATTGATGAACCTAAGCTGAAACTTTTGTTGTTGAGATTCAGATAAGTCGATCTGAAAGGAGTTAGAACTTAGAGCTCGTGATTGTGGCAAACCTAGATAACAGAACTGTGCAAGTGAACATTACAGGGCAACAAAATAAATCATTATCTGAGATAATTTTATAAAGGAACATTTAGTCTGTCTGTCTGTCTGTCAAGTTATAAGGTTTATTGATTTTTTTTCTTACAAGTATATGTGAAAGAGAGGTGTGCAAGTGCGTGTGAGTGTTAGTGTGATTATGTAAATATAATTTTCTTTCATTTTGTAAATAAATTTCGTTAATTGGAACTGTCTTGAGTGTTATTTGGAGATAGCCTGGCTCAACCACGTTACACGGGTACAGTGTATCAGTTTGATGCTTTCATTTCGTACGCCGAAAGTGAAAGGGCAGAGTTTATACCAAACCTTTTGAAGCTTGAAAGAGAAAATAATTTTAAATTCTGTATACACAGTCGTGATTTTATAATTGGTGTTAACATAGCAGAAAACATAACCAATGCTATTCACAATAGCAAGCGTACTGTCTGTTTTCTGAGCAAAGCTTTCTTAGAATCTGAATTTTGTATATACGAGGCTCAAATGGCTCGAATGGAGAGTATCTATAGAGGAGGGGAAACAACTTTGTTCACTGTTCTTGCGGAAAGAGATCTTGGGGCTATTTTGCCACAATTTCTAAAGGATGTCATAAAAGAACAAACATATATTGAATATGATAGAGATATTCCAGAAGAGTTTTTGAATGCTTTGATTCAGGCATTAAGGGATATATAACGCAAAATCTATGCTGGAATGATAAGGCTCAAAACTTTGACGAAACACGAAAGAACGTTTGCAAGAAATGCTGACTTTAATTTGATAATCGGTAAATTATTTATTGAATAAATGTTGATGAATAACGTTCGTACCCCCAATACTATAGCTCTAACCACTTTCCAGGTTTTCTTATTTATCATCAATTCAGAACCTCCGAATATAACACAGGATTCTGAAGAAGGGCTTAAACTTGAGATCTTTACATGGTTGTTAGAGAGCATTTGAATAATCAATTTTGTTTGCTTGCAAATGGTACCATACAATATGTCTTATTTTTAGTCCAGTATCAAATACTTCGAAGTTCTGACAATAAGGCAAACACACTTTTTATTACTATTTTTTTTTTTTACCTTTTTCGTTGATTTAGTTTTCCCTGTATTTTTGAATATCATTGTATGTAAATATCTGCTTTGAATTTCATAACCAAAATAAATTGTTTTCGTAAAGCATTTAATCTTGCAAGACTTTTAATTTTTATTACATATAGAATTCGATTAAAACATATGCTTTGCAGTGAAGTTGTTTTGAAAAAAAATGTCTATATGGGAAGAAAGCATTATCAATTCCTAACACAACTTCATTTCTAATATGACTTTGATCGAATGTTAAAGAAAAAATATGAAAAGAACTTTTGCGGCTGAATATTCTGTCAGAATGTTTCAATTTTTAAAAGAAATATCTAAAAGATTGTATAAGAAAATTTAGTGACAAAATTTGAACTATGAATTTTTCCATTTTTTACTAAATCGTAGACCAAAGAGGAATTAGAAAGGCTAATGAATACCGGGTATGTATAATATCAAATCTCATCTTAGTAATCACTACTAAAAAAGAATCTGAATTGACTGAGAAGTTCATGTGTTTGCCCTACCAAAAAACCCATTCGTGTTTCACGATTGTGATTGATTGTAGTATGTTGTTTGACGTCCCTCTCGAGAATTTTCCACTATTATGGAGACGCCAACACATGCCTGTGGTGAACTGCAAATTTTGTCCTAAGCTCGGCATTCAGAGCCATTGAGCAGTAAGGAATCTTTTTTCGTGCCATTACCTACTGCAACACGGGGCCTCGGTTTTTACGGTCGCATCCGAAGGGCCGGTCTTCCCGTCCCACAGTGGGATTCTAATCTGCGACGTACATGTAAGGATCAACTACTGATTGTCACATCACAATAAGTAACTGAGATAGTAGCTACTGAATTAGATTCTTTTTTCCTTTATTGTTTGTGTCCATTAAAACTTGTAAAATGTATATCATTAGAACACTAACACTTGTAAAATATGAAAGCCCTAGTGCTAACGGTTCAAAAGTTATGGTCAACGTTTTCAATTGGGTCAAATTCCAGGGTAAAGGTCATTATGTCAAATTTGATGGTACCAAAAGAAAGATCTTGCCACAAGAAATACACCTTTGAATTTCTAAGCACTAGTACTTACGGTCCAAAAGGTATAGTTAAGCAAGGTTAAAGTATTTTAAAAGTGGGTCAAATTCTAAGTTCAAGGTCAAAAGGACAATTTTTATACCCATTGAAAGGTCTTCTCCCAATAAAAACACTATTGAAGTATTAAAGACCTCACACCAACTTCTCAAAATTTATGGCTATGGTTAAAGTCCGGAAATTGAATGTGGTACCTAAAGGAAGGACTGTCTTAAGGGATACGCCTGTGAAATATGAAAGACATACCCCACCCACTCAAAAGTTATGGACAAAGCTACATTTTTGCGGACATACAGACAGACAGACAGACGAAGAGGGCAAAAACTATATATCCACAAATCTTCGATTACGGGCAATAAAAATGCCCATAACAGGTTTTGTCACCATTCATTTCAGCATACTAGTATTTCCAAATAAAGCTTAGAAAATATTAAAATTTATGATGAGAATTGATTTCAATTCCGATTTTAATCAAAGTTAACTTTTTTTCAATCAGACTACAACTTATATCCAGTTCAAAATTTCAAATAATTAGATTTTAATTACTTTTCAGTTATTACAGAGAATTAATTTAGAGTCGCCATGAGCTAGTCTCTAAGTAATTTTAAGAAATCAAAGTTGCTTTTTTAAAAAACAAAACTGCATCTTCTGCAATTGAAAACGACAAAAATCTAATTTGTAACATGGAGCTAGTTAACACATTTATAATTTTGTTCAGTTTTCATCGACTCCTGGGTGACAGGGATAGTTTCGTACTAAAGACCCAGTCAAAATTCTTGAAAATCTTAGATATTCCCAGTTTGATGTGATACTTTATGTAGAAAAAAGATTAGAATAATTATGGGACACATTTGCAGTGAACCAGAGTACTTGCTAAAAATCATAATGTGCAACATGTAGCATATAGAGACTTATAAATGCGAAACTAAGACACATGGTCAGTTGCAGAGATAATTTAGCTGAAAAGCCGAAGGCCTTAGAAGAAGGTGTGTATCTCAGAGGGAAGGTGAATGATCCTATATCAATTGCTGAATTTTCTTTAGGGCATAGATTGATTTACAGAATTCTTGCGTTTTATCCTATTCGCTTGGGCCTGGGGTGGGCTATATTGGTGCAATTTAGGCCACAATCCAAAATCTGTATAGTCCCGGGGTGCATGTTTGGTACATGTGCACTCTAATAGGCAGATTTCATGTAATTTGTTGATATAATTTGTGAGTCATGGAAAACTGTTTCTATGTACATGTATTTATTGAACGCATATATATGTGTACCCCCTAAGCACATGTTTAGCATAGAAAAAAAATATCCCCTGTCACCCTAGAGTTTGTTTTATTTTGGGAACAATGGCATAATCGAAATACAGGCTCAAGCTTACTTAACAGAAATACCCGAAAACACAACATCGTTATTATTTCGATGATCCATTAAAAAATGAAAACATTTGGTGTAAAAAAAAAATAAGGACTCACATCCCCATAAAGGGAAAAGTGTACTCTAGTAAGAAAAAGTTCAATTTTCATAAACTTATTTAAAAATCAGATACATATTATGTGTTTCTTGTTTGAAGTAATATTACTTTCTAAAACATTTGTCCAAAGAATAAAACGAATCAACTCTGACATCTAGTTAAATTACAAAGTAGAACATTAAGAAATGCACAATATATATACACGAAAACAATTATTTAAGTACTGGCATTTATTAGACTATCTAACAAAACAGTGACATCTCAAAAAATCGTGCAACAACTGACAAAAATATGTAGGGAAAGCAGCAATTTACAGCAATATTTAAATTAAAGTTTTTTTTTTTATAAAAAAAAATATATATATATATATATAAATTGAAATGAAAGTTAAAAAAATTTTCATTTCTCACAAGTTTAAAGAAGGATTATATAGAGCATAACGATGTCTCCTATTTTGTCATTAGATTTGGTTTAGAAGTTTATAATATAAGTATGTAAGTAAATTATATGACAAAATATTCTAAAGAAATGTACACACGTTGAATGAAAAGAAAAAACAACACATTTTAGAATTTACAATGTGAATTTATAAAATCATTTTCCAACAGATTTATGTTTGCAATTTCGGAACACGATATATGCATTATGACTCTTTACCTTTTTGACAAAAATGGGAAAATCAATTATCACTTCCTTTTTGAAAACACAAAGAAATATAAAAAATTAACACCAATGGCATGCTTTGGACACAAAGACAAGCAGTCTTGAATATGAGATCTTATATAACAAACTATAAAACAAGTCACGAGATATATTCTTTAAAAATCTGAGATATTCCCTGTTTGATGTGAAACTTTATGCAGAAAAATGATTACAATAACTATGGGACACATAAGCAGTGAAGCAGAGTACTTGCTAAAAAACATAATGTTCAACATGTAGGTATTACTATGACACTGAACATATACAGATTTGTAAATGCAAAACTAAGACACATGGTCAGTTGCAGAGGAAATTCAGCTGAAGAGCCGTAGGCCTTAGAAGAAGGTGTGTATCTCAAAGGGAAGGTAAATGACCCCATATCAATTGCTGAATTTTCTTTAGGGCATAGATTGATTTACAGAATTCTTGTCGTTTTATCCTGCTCGCTTGGGCCTGGGGTGGGCTGTATGGGTGCGATTTAGGCCAAAACGTCGGAAAAACAAGACAAAACTTGTATAGTCCCGAGGTGCATTTTTGGTACATGTGCACTCTAATAGGCAGATTTCATGTACTTTGTTGATATAATTTGTGAGTCATGGGCATATTTAGTGTAATCAATTAGCCCCTAGAAAACTGTTTCTATGTACATGTATTTATGGAACGCATATATATGTGTACCCCCTCAGCACATGTTTAGCATAGAAAAAGCTTTCCCCTGCCACCCTAAAGTTTGTTTTATTTTGGGAGCACTGGCATAATCGAAATACAGGCTCAAGCTTACTTAACGGAAATACACGAAAACACAACATCGTTATTATTTCGATGATCCATTAAAAATGAAAACATTGGTTGTTTTAAAAAAATAATAAGGACTCACATCCCTATCAAGGGAAAGTGTACTCTAGTAAAAAAAAGTTCAATTTTCCATAAACTTATTAAAAAATCAGATATTATGTGTTCCTCGTTTGAAGTAATATTACTTTCTAAAACATTTGTCCAAAGAATAAAACGAATCAACTCTGACATCTAGTTAAATTACAAAGTAGAACACTAACAGCTGTACAGTATATATACACGAAAACAATTATTTAAGTACTGGCATTTATTAGACTATCTAACAAAACAGTGACATCTCAAATTATCGTGGAACAACTGACAAAAATATGTAGGAAAAGCAGCAATTTACAGCAATATGAAAATTAAGTTTTTTTTAAATAAATAATTTAAAAATTGAAATGAAAGTTGAACATTTTTCCATTTCTCTCAACTTAAAGAAGGATAATATGGAGCATAACCATGTCTCCTATTTTCTGATTAGATTTGGTTTCGAAGTTCATAATATAGGTATGTTAGTAAATTCATTTAGATAAATGTTGCTTCGTTAAACTATATTGTAATGACCTCAATAAAATCAATATGACGAAATAATATTAAGAAATGTACGAGGGTTGTTCGAAAAGTTCGTGGACGATGTCAATCTTAGTTATATTACTCGATAGAAATTTTGAATAAGCACGATATAATATGTAAAAATATTTGTTTTCTTGATGTGTGAAGTTTCATTCCATTCGATTTAACAGAAATCAATTTACTTCATTTTAAAATCAGCATGTATTGTACCCGCGGAGCACACTTAACGACAATGTAACGTCAAAAATATAACGTCAAGAATTTCTAAAAAATACTATCCCTATACATTTCACAAAGTATAATCCAATGCCACTCATTAAATCCTTTTTCTTATACTTTACATTTAATTTTTAAGAATTGCTCTCGTTGGATAAATTACTTTGTTGAGGTTTTAATTTCTATTTTAATTATTACCTAACTCTGCTTTCACAGGAAAAGCAGTCTGAAGCGCCTATGTCTTTCTTTGACGTTCCAACTTTTTATTAGATATTTTGTTCAGATTTTTACAGTTAAACCGTTTCTTCACAGATTGTTCTCATCCGAAACAGAGTCAAATACTGCCTGTACTATTTGTACACACCTGCACAACTCGCTTGTGACATATTTTCTTGATTCCTCTAACATTCTTAGAGTTTATTTATAATTTTTCCGAAGTTAAACACTCAATTGCATCTTTATCTGCTGCTCCGTGACGTTCTAAAGCATCATCGTTTTTGTCGTTTTCAATAAGGACAACCTTTCTTCTCAAGTTGATTTCTTTTCAACAAAACAAAATATAAAGCCATAATTTGGTATACAAATCGATGTTACAATTTTTAATTTGAATTTCTAGGTTGTTGTTCGTTTTTGCTCCATTTTATAGAGAATGTGACTACAGACATTATCTAGTGTATTGTCTGTAACTCACTAAATTTTGACCTGCTCCGCGACCCGATTTTTGTATTTTTAAAATCTGGAAAAATTTTGCATTAATCGTAATATTTTGAAAAAAATTAATAGAAATAATTTGGATTTATTGTTAAAATATTTGTACCAAATTTGGATCACATTTGACTTCAAATAAAAAATATATGACAGTTGTCCTCGAACTTTTCGAACAACCCTCGTACACACGTTGAACGAAAAAAAAAAATAATTTGAATTTACAATGTGAATTTACAAACTCATTTTGCAACACATTTATGTTTGCAATTTTTGACGGGTTCGGAACATGATATATGTATATGTTTCATGACTTTTTCCCTTTCTAACAAAAAAATGGGAGAATCAATGATCATTTCCTGGTTGTAAGCACAAAGAAGCAAAAATTTTACACCGATGGCGTGCTTTGGACAGAAAGACAAGCAGTCTTGCTTTCCTTTTTTAGAATATGAGATCTTATATATATATATATATATATATATATATATATATATATATATATATATATATATATATATATATATATATATATATATATATATATATATATATATATATATATAAACTATAAAACTATAAAACAAGTCACGAAATATTTTCTGAACCACACAATGCAGGTGGATATTTATTTGGGTTACATATTTTGCATTTCTTTAGAGGCAGTAATACAAACAGGTAAGAAAAATAAAAGATGTAATGTTTAAGCAGTTTTTCATTAGGATTCATTCTGTAATCATTTTCATGGTATGTCTGATAAACAGGCAGGAGAAAATCTATTTTTTTTTTTATCTATTTTGTTTCAGAACATACAATATTAAATTTTAAAAATGGACCCGATAGATTTTTCTAAAAATGTGTGCGTAAATTTATTTAAAAAATACTTTAATAAATCCACCTTTAAGACAGATGATGCAAACAAAAAATGAGTGCATGGACTTGTATAAATTAAATAAAAAATATGTAAATGATTAGGAAAAATAAATTTATTTATGAAGATGTTAGAAAATCGATGTTCTGAATTCTACCTTTCTGCAATTAATCTTTTAAATATATTTACCATTTTGTCGAATCATTTTATAACTTTGAATTAACAAGTTTATTCAGAGAATCTGAGTCCCACGCTGAAGAAAAAAAGAAAAGAATGCGCTGATCCGGGAGGAGGGTCGAGGGGGCACTTTAAAAAGGGCATGAGGGACATAAGGAGTTATGGCATAAAATTTAATTGTAAAACTCAAAAGTTCTTGAGATATCACCAGAAAATGAGCGTTTAAAACGCGCACAGAATGTGTGAATTTACGACCTTGACCTTTGGTCTTTTAACCTCAAAATAGGGGTCTTCCTCATGTCATAGGGAGCTGTGTTATAAAATGTCATTGCAGAAGCTCATACTCTTCTCGAGATATCGCGCGGGAAAAAAAGTGTTAACATAGACATAATATTTGAATTTATGACCTTAAATTTTGACCTTTTGACCTCATAACCAATAAAGATCTTTTTTGGGCCGTAGGGAGTTGTCAGGTAAACTTTTATTGCAAAAGCTCCAAGGGTTCTCGAGCGTTGCGGAAAGAAATGATACAGATTGACAGAAAGCTAGACTGTCGAACGGACGGACAAAGAGATTGAAATTAATATCTCTCACTTTAAATGGGGGACAAAAATGAAAATCTTGCGGTTTAACTTATTCCACATTTTGCTTATATAAACATGATTTAAGCTGTATTTTCACAAAATTGTTGTAAAAGTTTGCATCATCTGTCCTTAATAAAAATTACAATGATTCTACATTTCTTTCACTTAATTTAATATATAAACTAATGTTTTCAGCCGGAAAGTGATATCAACAAGAGATCTTCACCTTTTTCATTCGACTTTTGGGCTGAAGCAATGTAATCCATTGTGCATATTTGCTAAGTTCGTCTTCATTTACCTTGTAGACAAAGCATCGATAGTCATACTTCAAGACAATGAGTCTCATCGCAACTCTATTGTTCTGTGTTTACCTGACTTTTTTGAAGCAGACACTACAATTGAGCTGCTCTTCTGAACCAAACTGCCGATGTTATTTTTATAGAGGAATGCTAATCGCTGATTGTAACTCACTAAACCTAACTCATTCTCCAAGATTCTACCTGAATATTAGATGGATCTTACTTTATAACAATCGTCTTACAGAAATACCTACTGACATGCCGCAAGAGATCGTGAAGCTAGATATAAGCGATAACAATATTCGAAATCCAAAAAAGGTCGTTCTTTCAAGATACAGGCATCTACAATGGCTAAATATTGGATATAATTGTCTTTGGGCAGGACATAGAGAGTGGCCGTCACGCTTTTTTGAGAACCTGAAAAAACTCGATACCTTACTCATGAATGATAAATGTTTTGAAATCCCCGACAGTAGGCTCAAGGAAATGAAGTACTCCAATGGGAGCTTTTACGGACTTTCGTCACTAAGGCATATCGAAATGAATGGATTAGGTGGCCATAACTTCGTGGACGCATTTGAAAAAAATAATTCGGTCGAAGTTCTTGTGCTTTCGATACAGAGTGGTCGTTGTTTTCTGAAAAGCATCGAGAATGACACGTTCTATGTATTCAAACAATTGAAAAAACTTACATTATTAAACTGTGAAATCAAGTACATAGAGAAAGGAGCCTTTAGACACTTATATAATCTTGTATATCTAGATGTTTCAGAAAACCGAGACCTAACGTTATCTGTATTGCCCAATATTACTTATGATCTGCAATATACCAAAATTCATACATTTACTGCAAATAGTCTTCATTGTAAGAATGGACTTTCGCTGATATTAAGAATAAGCCATATAGAATATCTCAGGAATACTCTCTTAAGAGAGTTGTCGTTGGGAGATAATAGAATTGGGATCATTGAGCATCGACTAACTGAGTACCTTCCCAAGTCATTGACTTACATCAATATTAAAAATAACCCGCTGATTTACGGGGAATATATATTTGAAGGAGACTTTCTTTCAAATCTAGAAAGGTTAGACAGTGACCGCACAAACAAGGAAACTTTTCATGAACTTGGCTGTAATTATAATTCTAACAGTTGTAACAAAGAGAAAGAAATTACTGTTGAGGAAACGGAATATAAAGAGTCACCACCTTTTAATTTTTATCAATTACCCCCTAAGCTAAAATCACTAAGCATTGCTAATCAGAAAATATTTCTCCCTTTGATTGACAACGCTTATGGCTTCAGATCGAAGAATTCATTAAAACATTTGCATGTTCAAGGAAATCTAATATATGACATACAATATTTTAGTGGTCTTTGGCGTCTGGAATACGTTGATCTCTCGAACAACTTTTGCTTCAACATTACCAAACAGTCATTTAGAAATATGAGTAATTTGTTATTCCTGAACTTATCAAGAAATCTTTTAGGAAAGGAATTAAAACGTCAGTCCGCAGAACATGTCTTTGATCACCTCCATGGTTTGAAGGTGCTGGATCTGTCCTACAACTGGATAAATCTTTTGTATAAAGATGTGTTTGTTTCCATGTCAAATATTGAGCACCTAAACTTAAGTAATAACGAAATAGGAAGTGTCACTTTTGATCTGTCTGCTGCATTAAAATTGCGTAGCATAGATTTGTCTTCCAATAAAATTGTGATGTTGGACTCAAAAGCAATGGACTTTTTAGATGCTTTGAGGGAGAAACAACTCTCTATCCAGATGTCAAACAACCCTTTGCAGTGTACATGTCAAAGTTTGAAGTTCCTCAAATGGATGAAAGCATCGTTAAATAAACACTTTGTTGGCAGAGACGATTACACTTGCACATTCACAGATGGAAAAAAGATTGAACTTGCGCCACTTAGACCAGATAATTACTTCTTTAGAGCGTCAATGTACGTCATTTACAACAACTATAGTCATAATAACCATTATTTTACTGGTCACAATCATTCTTATATCATTTGCAATAACGTATAGGTATAGATGGAAACTGCGATACTTGTATTACGCTGGTAAGAGAAGTTATAGAGGATATTCAAGGATTTTGGACTCTGGAAGAGAGTATCAGTTTGATGCGTTTATTTCGTACGCTGAAAGTGAAAGGATCAAGTTCATACCAAACCTTTTGAAGCTTGAAAGAGAAAATGATTTTAAATTCTGCATACACAGTCGTGACTTTATAATTGGTGTTAATATAGCAGAAAACATTACCAATGCTATTCACAACAGCAAGCGTACTGTCTGTTTTCTGAGTAAAGCTTTCTTACAATCTGAATTTTGTACATATGAGGCTCAAATGGCTCGAATGGAGAGTATCTATAGAGGAGGGGAGACAACTTTGTTCAATGTTCTTGTGGACAAAGATCTTGGAGCTGTCTTGCCGCAATTTCTGAAGGACGTAATCAGAGAACAGACATATCTGGAATATGATAAGGAAGTTCCAGAGGAGTTCTGGAATGCTATAACTCAGGCATTAAGAGAAATATAGAATGAGGTCTTCATGCATATCGTAAAAATAGTCAAAAATTGTCAGACCCTTAGTCATGCAAAGACACATTTAAAAAACAATGTAAGGGAATTTGCATTGCCATTTTATTATAAAAGGCAATCGACATTCAAATACCAGTTTAATTCTCTTCCCGTTATGCGTCATTATAGACAACGTAATACTAATAGTATTTCCCTTACGATATTTTTAAACCGAAGGATGTTTTCTGTTACGTTTGGTAGAAACCGACCCAGAAATTCTGGAATACGGAGTATTGATGGAACATGGCTGATAAAAATCGGCAATATATCTGGTTTCTGGCACCTAATTCCATCTCTGATGTTTTAGAGGTTCGTGTTTGCTCTGTTCCTGATTTGTATTGTATAAATGCATCTTTGAGTTTGAATTCTTTTCGTAATCACCATATATTTCTGTAAATTAAGTTACAATGTACTTTAAAAACCTCCTTATTTATGTATGTGTGTGAGGTTATTTTTCCATGCCTTTGTAACAATCTGAGCTGCTTCGAATAAATAATGGAATTTCTTATTCTTTGTTATATTTGTGTAATAATTTTATTTATAATTTTATATTTATTATATAAGACACGCACCTTTTAGTGAAATCCTCTTCAATATGAATTGTTTATCAATAAAAAAATCATTTATCATTTAGATTTATGATTGATTGATTGATTGAATATTGTTTAACGCCGAGTCGGCAATTTATCAGCCATGTTTTGGATTCTGAAGAGACAGGTAGACTTCAAACACATCATTTGGCGAAATCGAAAATTTTAGATCTTCCTTAAACATTGTAGTTTAAAGTAATGACGTAGAAGCAATGACCTTAAAAGGTCTTATTACAGGGAGTCTCAATCTCTCAATTGACAACAGATTATCACCTTTCGAAACTTACCTGGTATGTCAGACGTTGAGCAATGTTTGAAGAGGAAGACCTGAACACTTTATCACAATGGATTAATTTTTTTAGAAATATATTTAAGGGCCGTTTAAGAAAATTAATAAGCAAACCATCTGTCCTTCTGTTTTCACTTAATGAGAAATGATAAAAGAATTAGAAAGGTTACAAAGGTAGCAATGCACCATGGTTTTATTAGATAATTAAGACTTGAAACAATATCGTCTTTTTATAAACTAATTACAATACGTGATATCTACTCTAAGGCATCTGAGTGATTGATTGTTACTCTTTTACTCTAAGGGTTATATATATATATATATATATCCTTTGACGGTTCATCTTGAGACAAAATGCTCACTCTTAAAAATAAATCAGAAATTTCTGACATTAAAGTTGAATATTTGATACAGTCATTGACCAGGTGAACAACAACAGTTCCCATGGTTTCACCGTTGAGTATCAACGGTATGTCAGACGTTGAGCAATGTTTGAAGAGGAAGACCTGAACACTTTCTCACAATGGAATAATTTTTTTTTAGAAATATATCTAAGGGTCGTATAAGAAAGTTAATATGCAAACCATCTATTCTTCTGTTTTCACTTAATGAGAAGTGATAAAAGAATTAGAAAGGTTACAAAGGTAGCAATGCACCATGGTTTTATTAGATAAGACTTGAAACAATATCGTCTTTTTATAAACTAATTACAATACGTGATATCTACTCTAAGGCACCTGAGTGATTGATTGTTGCTCTTTTACTCTAAGGGTTATAAAGCCAAATTTCTAGCCTTTGACGGTTCATCTTGAGACAAAATGCTCACTCTTAAAAATAAATCAGAAATTTCTGACATTAAAGTTGAATATTTGATACAGTCATTGACCAGGTGAACAACAACAGTTCCCATATTTCACCTTTCGAAAATCAACGGTATGTCAGACGTTGAGCAATGTTTGAAGAGGAAGACCTGAACACTTTATCACAATGGAATAATTTTTTTTAGAAATATATCTAAGGGTCGTATAAGAAAGTTAATATGCAAACCATCTATTCTTCTGTTTTCACTTAATGAGAAGTGATAAAAGAATTAGAAATGTTACAAAGGTAGCAATGCACCATGGTTTTATTAGATAAGACTTGAAACAATATCGTCTTTTTACATACATGTCCAAGTAAGGCTAATTATTAAATAAAATTAATAACTAAATGTTAGAAGTAATTATTTTCGATATCAATGTCGATATCCAATATTCAGCACTATTAATTGGAAATATTTGGTGCTTCAAAATCACTTTCATTGTTCATATTTTAACATTTCGACAATATCATGACGATATCGTTTCGATATCCCCCTATTCCACTATTTATTTTCACATCTCAGGTATAACATAATTTTACAAAGTCACAAGTGAAGTCAAAATGGATCTTTATTGGCATGAATATGAAAATAAATTATGATTAATATATGCATAAGGGTTGTTATTGTTTAAGATTAGATTTAGAGTAAGATGTTGGGTTAGGGAGACAATTCTTGAAAATGATTTAAAAATGATGATTCGATATCGATACTATATACGTCGATATCTTACGATATCGACAGTTTTTAAGTAAACTTTTTAAACACAGAAGTGTTGTAAAAATAAAGTTTTTGTATTTTGAAGGTTGGTAAAGTTATATGCTTTTAAAGATTGACTCGATATCCACACAATATCGTCATATCGATTTATCGAAGGCAGATAAAATTTTTGAAAAAGTAAAGTAATTAAATATAAACACATTCAAAGTAACAGGGAAGGTATTTTACCATATATTGAGCAAACATGATTCGATATCGAAGCCTGATATCGTTTATCAACGATATCGACACTTCACAAAGATTTATAAAGTTTAAAGTAACAGTTGTTAGAAACACGATATTAAGGATTGAAACCACAATTCTTGGAACAACCATAATTCGATATCGGCACGATATCGAAAATATTGAACAGTATGGAAATAGTCCTAAAACAGGAAGTATTGTAATAAACACAGTAGAATAGAGAAATATAATAGAAAACTATAAAAAAGTAATGTGTCGATATCAAAACTACATCGTGTCTTGGACATAACTCTCTTTTTATAAACTAATTACAATACGTGATATCTACTCTAAGGCACCTGAGTGATTGATTGTTGCTCTTTTACTCTAAGGGTTATAAAGCCAAATTTCTAGCCTTTGACGGTTCATTTGATACAAAATGCTCACTCTTAAAAATAAATCAGAAATTTCTGACATTAAAGTTGAATATTTGATACAGTCATTGACCAGGTGAATAACAACAGTTCCCATGGTTTCACCGTTGAGTATCAACGGTATGTCAGACGTTGAGCAATGTTTGAAGAGGAAGACCTGAACACTTTATCACAATGGAATAATTTCTTTTAGAAATATATCTAAGGGTCATATAAAAAAGTTAATATGCAAACCATCTATTCTTCTGTTTTCACTTAATGAGAAGTGATAAAAGAATTAGAAAGGTTACAAAGGTAGCAATGCACCATGGTTTTATTAGATAAGACTTGAAACAATATCTATATATATAGCCTTTGACGGTTCATCTTGAGACAAAATGCTCACTCTTAAAAATAAATCAGAAATTTCTGACATTAAAGTTGAATATTTGATACAGTCATTGACCAGGTGAACAACAACAATTCCCATGGTTTCACCGTTGAGTATCAGCATTTAGAGACCCCTCTCCCCCTTTTGTTTAAGGGAAAATCAATTCATACACTGTATAAACCTAAGACCTTTTATTTTTTGGTAAAATATTCTCCGTGTATGCCTTTATGCATTTTTTACAATGTCTCAATGACCAGCAAACAAATGAAACGATATCGACTCAGAACAATGATGAAATTAACCAACATCCTTTCAGTACATTCAGTACTTTGATTCCTGCAGAAGTGAAAGTGACGAAATTCTTGTGAATGTTCAAGATAGACATTGCCATTTAACGCTAAACTTGTTTAAAGACTATTAAATTTTGGCAAAATGTGTAAGTACCTTCTTCAGGCTTCATAACATTTTTGGAAAACAAAACCGAAAATGGCTTAGTATATCTGACTTATATTTGCAATATATATTGATATATTTCAATTTTACTATTTGACAAATATTAGCAAATCAGGAATTGTTTATATTTTACTCCTAAAAATAATTACTTATATTAAACCATCCCTTGATTGCCTTATGTTTATCATTCCTATTATCTATAAATCACATTATATACCATATTGTGTAAATTCAACCAATACAGTCGACGTTTAATCTTAACGAAAATCTCGGGCCAAATCCAAAGTAAAATTAAACCATCGGCACGTCTAATTTGGCTTGAAATTAAAAACCTTAATAGTCATCCTTGAAATTAGACTCATTTTATTTTAAAAATTTAAACATTGCAACAATTCAACTTCATAAAATTTTCCATGACCTTACCGTTTTATCGATTCATCGAGAAAGGAAGAGGAGGAAACGACTAAATATTAGACTATATTGAAATGGACCTAAATTATCCGGAATGATAGGTTGTGACTAAGGGTGTATAAAATTATAAATCTGAAAGGACTTAAACATTTATATTTTCTTCGACAAGGCCCTCTAGCAAACTGTTAAAATTTTGGGTCTACTACATCTGCTTCATATTTACATGTTTTACTGACTTCAGACAAGTGGGACAAGTAAATACTCAATTGTTTGATAAATGAGATGATTCCAGCTTTCCAAACATCAAATTTCGTTATTGATGTAGAAATATTCTGTTATCATCAACATATGATGCTTACGTCTCACAAAATAGTCAGTTGTTAATACTCTAAAGCATGTTCTGAAATAGAGTGTTTTATTTTTAAATTGAGGCAGTCAGTCTTCTAAAATTGAAGTTGATGTAATTGGCACTTCAAACTATTTCTTTCAAAGTCAGCACGAGCAACAGGGAATGTTTTATCCTCTTTAGCGTCCTGACTCCATATTTTGATGTTACCGACTTTAAAAAAAATGGCGATTTGAAAAACTTTATTTACTTTGTTTTATTGGGCGGGGGGGGGGGGGGGGATCCCGGTGCACCTCTGATTTATACCATTTGTTAGAATATGCTTTAGAATAACATGTCTGAATT